AGAACTAGTGATAAAGAAATAATAGAAAAATGTGGGTATTTAAACAAACTGGTTCCTGGATCCCATATAATGGCAGATAGGGGTTTCAGAATATTCAGCTACTTGAAAACATGGGATGCACTTTAGTAAAGCCACACCTAGTGTATCACAGAATGAAAAAAGTTCTCCAGAAGATGTACAATTAAGTAAAAGAATAGCATCTCTAAGAATACATGTGAAAAGAGTTATAAGAAGGGTTAGTTAATTTAACATGTTAAAACCACATTCATGTGTGAATTTTAAGCAAGTACATTTACTTAGTAATATCTGCATAATTGCTTGTTAACTTACAAGAACCTATTTTGTAAGAGTAAATATTAATTTAATAAACTTTTTTGTTTGTTTTTTAATTTAATTTACCTAATTATCACATTTCAGGGATTATAATGAATTTTTAAACAGCCAATGTAATTTTTTTATAAAATTTTAACTTTTCGAGCAAATCAAAGAGGAGTGAGTACCTGTATATGCATAGATTTTGTTGGGACTAAAACTACCAAAACAAAGGCACCTATTTACAGCAGTTTAAAATGAAACATTTTAACAAAAACACCTATGTCACAGTGATAAATATTAAAAACAACCAAGTTCAGTTGAATGTGGTAGCAAAGTCTATACATATATTCCAATAAATCGGGTAACTACATGTGGTATCACTGGTGATAAATTTAAAAATATCACAATTCTTGCCACCTTTTTCAAAAAACCAGAAAGTGTGCCTTCTTATCAATCCTTTATAAAAATGACAACAGTTATAAATGTGAAAAAAACATTTAATGTTTCTATTCGTTATTACGATAGTAAAACATGTTTGCAGTTCCGTTTATTTTTTATGAAAATCTAAGTAAAAACAACCAATGTCAAAGGGTTATAATTTTTTTTCTGTCAAACCAAATATATCACAAAATTAAAAATTGATCATAGGTCAAGCTAAAGTAATACTTTTATTGATAGTAGCTTTAAAAAAGGAGAAAGAATAATATTGACTTAAGTTATTATTATTAACATTGGTGATTTTTAATAAAAACTCTTCAATTATTGTTTACAAACAAAAATATAAAAATCTGTGAAATTTTTATTTATTAACCTTTTAATAAAAAATGAGAAAAATGAAGTAAAAAAACAATTTATTTACAAATAAAAAATATATATACAAATCCTAAGAATATAAAAGTACTGATTTATTTTCCTGTAGTGGATGAAGAGGTTTCTTTAACAATCTAGCCAAGTATACATCAATATTTACGCATTTTGATAAATTAGAGCCTTTACAATAACACTGAGTAGATGTTACAGATGGTTCCTCACTTCTATGAAGCCACATGTTTACAACCTCCTCAAAAAAATAAAAGGGTTAGATATGCAGTTACAAAATAACTATATAACCAGCTACAAAATGCCTTATTTTATGTAACAAGACGAGCAGAGCTTTACTAGCTCTGAACGAATGCAGTAAAGAACCTCGGATTTTCAAAACTTAATAAAAACAATCTCACCACATTTTCACATTTTTGAAATATTATAGAGCTTTTCGAAAAAAACTGCTATTTTTAAAAGTACAATTTTTTTGTTTAAACAGCTATGTCTCATTTTAGGCTATTGAGTATTATAAAATAAAAAATTACGGGTTGCTTTGTTAGCTTCAAACGAATCCAGCAGAGCACCCCAGTTTTTTTTTAAACCACACCACGTTTTTTTGCTCCTACAATATTATAAAATATTCGAAATTTGGCATTTTTAAAAAAATTCGCAATTCCTTGCTGACTTCAAAGTTTTTTTTCTTAAAAGAAATATACTTACCACATTTTTAGGATTTTAAAAAACAGCCTAAACATGTGTCATAAGTAGTTGTTTTTATATATTAAAAAACTGAAGTGTCCTGTTGACTTTGTTCCAACAAAGCACCCTGTATTATTTAAAAATAGCAATTTTTTTAGTAAAGTTTTACAATATTTCAAGAGTCTAAAAATATTCTAAAAATGGGGTGTGGTTTTTAGAAAAAAGCTTTAAAAAACCGAATTGCTCTGCTGGCTTCTTTCGAAGGTTAGCAAGCACCATGTATTTTTTAAAAATATAATATTTCAAGTGCATAAATATATGGTGTTGCTGTTTTTACAGAAAAAAAACTTTATAAAACAGAGGTGCTTTGCTGACTTCGTTCGAAGCTATCAGAGCATTTTAAGTTTTGCACAAAACGAGGAGCATAAAATTTTTGAAAAGGGTATAAAAATAGCCTAAAAATATGGCATATGTTTTAACTCAAAATTTCATAGGTGCTCTGCAGCATTCTTTGGTATCATAATTATTACTAGGTTCACTAACAAAATCTATTTCTAGATTATTTTAACACTTGCTGCGATTACAAAAAATGTCTCTTTATATGTCAAAATTAGAAAAAAAATATTTATAGGAATAAAGGGCCTTATACACTGTTTATTATATGTGATATAAAAACAAAAAAGCATAATAAATATTACAAACCTTGAGATTCAGCATATCCTAAGCATTGTGCACTAAAAATTTCATTTTTGTTAAATACAACAACCACATCATAAGGTTTTTGCTGTACTTTATGTTTAGGTGTAATTTGTCTCCTTCTCTCTTATGGAAAAAGTAAATATCTCCATATTCTTGCTTGGCAGATCTAAAAATAAAACCTGAGATAAATATGTTTTACTATAAGGTGTATTGCTTCATATAAACTGTAACTACCTACCATTAAAACAATTTATAAATAAAGTTTTACTTTTCTATCTTTTGTAAACTGAGTATTGTTAAAAAATGCAGTAATCATCTCGGTAATCATATTTTCGTTTACAATGGGAAAAATACTTGATTCAACTTTTATAAATACAGCTGATAAATTCATATTCTTCTTCCTTTATTGGGCTATATCCCACAGGATAATTTACCCAGATAAATTCAGATTAATAATAAAATTAAACCAAAACAAAAAACTAAGGTTAGTTGTTAGGTGGTGTCAATTTTTAATGTCACTTAGATGTGCGTTCACTTCGAGATTCTGTGTGTCGGTTTGTTCGTTGGCTTGGTTTTGTATAACAAAAAAAACTTCGACACAAGCTGATTGGTCTATTCCCGATGACGTATAATTTCAAATTTTAAATTTCAATTGGGCTTAATTTAAAAACTTTTAGCTTTTTACTTTCCTATCTGTATACAGATATAAGGAAAGTATAGGAATCATGATTTTTTTCGACCTCGAGTTTTCGACGGATTTTTACGTTTTGAGGTCCCCTGAATCCGTTTTGACTATTTTCGCGATGATGTCTGTCTGTCTGTGTGTGTGTGTGTGTGTGTGTGTGTGTGTGTGTGTGTGTGTGTGTGTGTGTGTGTGTGTGTGTGTGTGTGTGTGTGTGTGTGTGTGTGTGTGTGTGTGTGTGTGTGTGTGTGTGTGTGTGTGTGTGTGTGTGTGTGTGTGTGTGTGTGTGTGTGTCTGTGTGTGTGTCTGTGTGTGTGTGTGTGTCTGTGTGTGTGTCTGTATAACGCATAACTCATGAACCGATACACGGAAAAACACCAAATTTCAAACTTAAGCTTTATTCCAGCGTCTAATGAGCTGATTAGATTTTGGGCAGAGTCGGAACATCTGGGGGGGTACTTTATAGGTGGTCTTTTTTATATTTTATGGAATATATCTGTTATTTACGTTTGGGGAAGAAAATTTTTTAAATAAGAGTTACTTCTTATTTTATTATCTATAATTTTTGTTATTTACAAAATTTTCCTAAAATGGTCCGTATTCGAGAAATTTGATAAAATGTAAAAAAATATTTTTTTTTATAAAAATTGTTCAAATAAAAGTTGTTTGTAATATAATTCTCTATAATTTTTGTTCTATGAATAATTTCTCTAAAAAGGACCGTATTCGAGATATTTGAGAAAATGTGTAAATTTCGAAATTTGAAGAAAACTCAAAAACGGATAAAGAAAAAATCAATAAATTTTAAACTTAAGTTTTATTTCGGCCTGACGTGAAATGATTAGATTTTGGACAAAGTCGGAACATCTGGGGGGGTACTTTATGGGAGGCCGTTTATATATTTTATGGAATATATCTGTTATTTATGTTTGGAGAAGAAAATTGTTCAAATAAAAGTTACTTCTAATATTATTATCTATAATTTTTGCCTTATGTAAAAATTTCCTGAAATGGTCCGTATTCGAGAAATTTGACAAAATGTGCAAAATTCTGATTTTTATGAAAATTGTTGAAATATAAGTTGTTTGCGATATCGATTTTTATAATATTTGTTCATACATGATTTTTTTTAAATGGACCGTAAGGAAAAATTGTAGGAAAAGTGCTAAATTTAAATTTTTAAGTATTTTCATTTTCAATGAATATCTATAGAAAAATGTTTCGCGGTAGATGTATGTGGACAATGTATATATTTAGTTTATCTTCTAAACATTTATAGAGATGCTGCAATAGGTTGTACACAATAAATGGAAAAAGCCTGTAATAACTAGATAGGAAAGTCATGTGTTGGACACATCAAATTTTTTAACGAACTGATTATTTAGAATAATTTGTATAGCGACTAACTATTACAATATAGTTTATAATGTGAACATGGCCCATTAGGACTAGCAATTTACGAGATAATTGGGCGTTTCCAAACTTTTGGGCCACTCCGTATATATTTCCTTTCGATATTTTTAAATCATGATTCCTATACTTTCCTTATATCTGTATACAGATAGGAAAGTAAAAAAATTAATTCATTGCAAGAAATGCATTTTTTGCCTTAATTAATTTTTCATTGTTTAAACAATAACATCAACAAATATCGATGTCATCTTACACTTTTATAATTAGGCAAGCCTCTAATAAAAGATACCAAAAACTATTTATTTTATAATGAATAAAGAACTTTCTTTTCGAATATTATGGAGTGATTGAAAGGTTTACAAATTAGGAATAAAAAAAAACACTCGTCCATACATAACTAAAAAATTTTAATTTTAATTAGATACACGTAACCTAAATAGAAAACGTAAAAATATAACCTATAAAACTAACAAATGAAACATAGCAAAATGGTTACCATGACTGTAGAACGAAATGTAGAACTTATACCCCTTTTTCTTCTTCAACAGAATCTAGTTCTCTAATAAAATAATCGTTTTCAAGTTTAAGAACATTCTTTCCTTTCGTTTTGTGTTTATTAGCCACTATGGGATTGGGATGGTCTTTTTTTTTAATAACATATTTATTTCGAATAATATTTATTTCTTTATCTGGATTTTTCGGAACGCATTGTATACCTTCGATATTCTCGCTATCATAACCCAGTTCAATAGACTTAAAAGCAACATCGTGATTTTCCAGCATAAGTAAAATCAAAGCCAAATCGTCGCAAACGAAATCATTGAAAGATAACCCTACGAATTTTAAGCTAGGACACTTCTTAAGCAATTCATCGATTTCTAAACCTTTCAATTTGTTGCGATCCAGATATAACTGCAATAATTTTTTCAACGTCAAAAATGTGGTTCTGGTATTGAAATACGTCAATTCATTGTGACTCAAATCCAGTACTTCTAACAATTTAAGTTCGGAAAGGCTGCCTACATCTAAAACTGATATATTGTTATACTGCAACCTCAATGATTTCAATTCCCTCAAATAATGCATGCTTCCTGACGGTATTACCGTTAATCGATTGTTAGATAGATCGAGTTCAATCAAATTAACGAGTCCTTGAAAGACATCCTTCTCCAATTGGATCAACTGGTTATTCTGCAAATTCAACTTATTTAACCGCCATAGATATTTGAAAGCACCGTCATTTATATAGACCAACTTGTTGTCAGCCAAAGTTAATTGTTTCAAACTATATAGGCCGTTAAAGCCTCCGTCTTCCAATTTAGAAATGTTATTAGATTCTAATAACAGCGTTGAGAGTATCGGAAGACCTAAAAAGTTACCGTTTACGATTTCAACGAATTTATTATGGTTCAAATTTAGATGCGTCAAACTCTCCAATCCATTAAAACACCATTGCTCCATAGTTTCCAATCCGATATCGGATAGATCAATTTCTTCAAGCTGTACTAAATCTTTAAACGTGTCTTTAGGTAAATCAGTTGTACCGTTAAATATGTGCTTGGTGTCTAAATATTGTAGACTGAAGAGGTTATTTAAAGCACCTGGTTCGATCGTATCAATCGTTGTGTTTTCGAAAAATAACGATCTTAAAGTATAGAGTCCTCTGAACGTATTTGCATTCAACGCTTCTAATTTAGAATCTTTAATTATTAGAATTTTGAGGTAAAAATTATCAATTTCGTCTGAATTCAAGATTGAATCGACCGTGATGATCAGTTCGTTTAAAGTGAGGGAATTTGAAATTTTGAAAATTTGTTTCAACGGGTTGCCGGATAAATCTACTTTACGCAAATTTGGCGTTTGGAAAAACGTATCTGCCACCACGAAATTTATATCGTTGTTGGCTAAATCTATTTCTTCGACACTTGATAAGTTTGCAAACGCTTTCGGTCTAATATTCTTGATGTGATTATTAGATAAATTGAGAAGTTTAACATTCTCTAAATGATCGAAAGCATTTTTGTGCACGTCGCTTATATTGTTGCCCTGTAGCAACAAATTCGTTACAGAAAAGTAAGCGAAAGTGTCACTAGCGAACTCTTTAAATCGGTTGTAAGTTAAATCCAGTATATCCAAAGATTTCATTTCGGATATAGCATTCGAATCAAATTTTTCGATAAAATTATTCGATAAATTTAAATATACCGTGCCAAGTAAATTTTTAAAAGAATCCATCGTAATTTCAACTATTTCATTATGAGATAAATCCAATTTTAATACTGTCGTATCAACGAAAATTTTATTCAATTGTGAAATCTGATTGTAACTCAATATCAATTCTTTCATGGTGTTATTAGTAAAGCAATTCGAACGCAATTCCTTTATATTTGAATGCGATAAATCCAAGAAATCTATTTTAGAATTCTTGAATGTCATATTGTCTATAACGCCGATGGAGTTGTAGCTTAAATTTAGATTGATACAATGAGGTAAATTCGAGAAATACAAATCGGGAATATCTATGATGGAGCAATTTGACAGATCCAAAAAATCTAAAAGATTGGAATCAGAATTGTAAAATCGTCTGATATCGTATGAATCTACACCGAAATCAGTCAATTTGTTCTTTGCCAATACGATGTATTTTCCAATGATTTTCAAATTGTTTAACCCTTCTACGTTGGTCAGATTAGCCACTGAGGTGTGTACTTCTCCAATAAACTGATCTACCACAGAATTGGCAAACCCGATGAATCTTTTGTCGAATGTCATAGAAACGATCTTGAGGCGATTGGCTCCTAAATCCAACCAGTCGAGCACCATGTTGGAATCCTTTTCGTAAAACATGGGAATGTCATTGTGGTAGAGATTCAATTTTGATGGGTTCTTGTAGCCTAAAATCATTTATTAATAAAAATAGACGTGTAATTAAGTATTTGTAACTTTGGTAGAAATAAAAAAAAAAATGTAATTTATAGTTATTTATGGACCGCAATGTGTAAGTAAGAGTCCGAGCCGCTATGCTGGGACTATTAACACGTAAGGTCCATAAACGCTGTTTACGCCCGAAATACATACAAAATTTTATGCAAGACCCTGTTAATAATAGGACAAATATAAATGGAGTCCCATCAGTGCGCAATTGTTCAATAATTTAATTTGTGTAAAAAAGTTTTAAATAAAAGTTATATGGATTTAAAAGATACATATTTTAAAAATATTTTTGAATATACAGGGTGTTGCGTTTTTGCCTGGCAAATAAAAATTTGTTTTTTAATAGAACAAGCTATATTTTATTTTAAGAATAGTTTGGTAATACTGTATTCAACCCTAAAATGTTTTAAAGACATATTAAAATTTTGCTAAGCATTTAATTTTTTATTTCAAATTATAGAATAATGCACACCCCAAATTAAATTATCATAATTTAGGAAGGCGTACATTGATTTCAAAATTGTATAATATACAAATTTACAACATGAAACTCGCATTTAAAAAACAGAGTAAAAAGAGCATACATTGCTTATGAACAATTCTGCCGAACCGTGGTTCGCACCTGGAATTTCTCCCCCAGAGTCGTCGCATGGACTACCACGGCTATCATAAAACCTATGCTAACATACGGTGCAGTTGTCTGGGTATATAAAACCCAAAAATTAACAGCTATCCGTAAACTAGAACAAATTCAAAGGACAGCATGTCTCAACATAACAGGAGTCATGAAAACAACACCGAGCAGAGCGATGGAAATTATTCTTAGTCTCACTCCCCTTGATATTTACATCAAGGAGGTTGCTTTGATGACAATGACACGCTTCCGCACGGTTGGAATAGAACGTGATGTAGGATCTGGTGAGGCGAAACGTCACTTTTGGCAGGAGGCGCTCGATACGTTGCCACTGCTTCAAGCAAACATGGACTCCATCTCACCGAGATATATCTTCCAGAAGCCATATAAAGTTATAATAGAATAAATAGAAGAGCCAGAAATGGCAGGTAAGATTCATATCTACACCGACGGTTTTAAAACAAAACAAGGCTCAGGATGTGGAATATACTCCAGATTCTTAAACCTAAACATAAAATGGGCTGTGAGCAATAGTGCCAGTGTAGTTCAAACAGAGCTAACGGGGATTCTCATGACAGCAAAAGAAATTACCAGAAACAATATCACTGGAGTCAAGCACTACTCACCCTAAACAGACCACGAATTTACTCAGGGTTAGTACTAGAATGTAACGAAGCTTTGGCCGAAGTATCAACAATGTGGTCACCTTAAGATGTATCAAAGGTTACACCACATCGAAAGGTAACCGTCTTGCAAATTCACTAGCCAAGAAAGCAGGCAAACAAATACTTTTGGACCTGGCCCTTCTATTGGCCTGACAGACCTAATTAAAGAACATTCCCTTGTGAAGTTCAAGGAAGTATGAAACAAGAAACTGCAGAGTTTCCAGTGAGCTCTAAAGTTATCTTGACAACACTGCAGCAAACAAATACTTGACTATGACTAGACAGAATCTGCGTCTGGTCACAGGCATTTCTGACTGGTCATTGCCAAGTACTGAAGCATCTCCACATCATGGGGCTGTCAGAATCCGCACTCTGCAGGAAGGTACGAACAAGAAGATGAGACCATCGAGCATATCCTTTACGATTGCTCGACGCTATCATTTATTAAATGATTTGTGTATCGGCTGACACCGGTCGATACATGAGAAGCACCTCTTGGCGACGTTGTCAACTACATTAAATCTGTAAGCTAGCTCATGAGCTAGGAGGTGTCTATCATCTTAGAAGGATGCACAATGGGCCTAATGAGGCCTAAGTGCTGTGGGAGTAACCCACCCTCCACATGTTATGGATACAAAGTATGTTAAAGGCAAAGATAAGAGAATATTTTATAACTTAGATGAGTCAAATAATAATGAATTTTTTTCGATTTTTTTTTTTCGATTTTTTCGATTTTTTTCGATTTTTCGGATTTTTCGGATTTTTCGGATTTAACGGATTTAACGGATTTTTGTGATTTTTCTGATTTTTCTGATTTTTCTGATTTTTCTGATTTTTCTGATTTTTCTGATTTTTCTGATTTTTCTGATTTTTCTGATTTTTCTGATTTTTCCGATTTTTCCGATTTTTCTGATTTTTCTGATTTTTCTGATTTTTCTGATTTTTCTGATTTTTCTGATTTTTCTGATTTTTCTGATTTTTCTGATTTTTCTGATTTTTCTGATTTTTCTGATTTTTCTGATTTTTCTGATTTTTCTGATTTTTCCGATTTTTCCGATTTTTCTGATTTTTCTGATTTTTCTAATTTTTCTAATTTTTCTGATTTTTCTGATTTTTCTGATTTTTCTGATTTTTCTGATTTTTCTGATTTTTCTGATTTTTCTGATTTTTCTGATTTTTCTGATTTTTCTGATTTTTCTGATTTTTCTGATTTTTCTGATTTTTCTGATTTTTCTGATTTTTCTGATTTTTCTGATTTTTCTGATTTTTCTGATTTTTCTGATTTTTCTGATTTTTCTGATTTTTCTGATTTTTCTGATTTTTCTGATTTTTCTGATTTTTCTGATTTTTCTGATTTTTCTGATTTTTCTGATTTTTCTGATTTTTCTGATTTTTCTGATTTTTCTGATTTTTCTGATTTTTCTGATTTTTCTGATTTTTCTGATTTTTCTGATTTTTCTGATTTTTCTGATTTTTCTGATTTTTCTGATTTTTCTGATTTTTCTGATTTTTCTGATTTTTCTGATTTTTCTGATTTTTCTGATTTTTCTGATTTTTCTGATTTTTCTGATTTTTCTGATTTTTCTGATTTTTCTGATTTTTCTGATTTTTCTAATTTTTCTAATTTTTCTGATTTTCCTTATTTTTCTTATTTTTCTGATTTTTCTGATTTTTCTGATTTTTCTGATTTTTCTGATTTTTCTAATTTTTCTGATTTTTCTGATTTTTCTGATTTTTCTGATTTTTCTGATTTTTCTGATTTTTCTGATTTTTCTGATTTTTCTGATTTTTCTGATTTTTCTGATTTCTCTGATTTTTCTGATTTTTCTGATTTTTCTGATTTTTCTGATTTTTCTGATTTTTCTGATTTTTCTGATTTTTCTGATTTTTCTAAATTTTCTGATTTTTCTTATTTTTCTTATTTTTCTTATTTTTCTGATTTTTCTGATTTTTCGGATTTTTCGGATTTTTGGGATTTTTCGGATTTTTCGGATTTTTCGGATTTTTCGGATTTTTCGGATTTTTCGGATTTTTCGGATTTTTCGGATTTTTCGGATTTTTCGGATTTTTCGGATTTTTCGGATTTTTCGGATTTTTCGGATTTTTCGGATTTTTCGGATTTTTCGGATTTTTCGGATTTTTCGGATTTTTCGGATTTTTCGGATTTTTCGGATTTTTCGGATTTTTCGGATTTTTCGGATTTTTCGGATTTTTCGGATTTTTCGGATTTTTCGGATTATTCGGATTTTTCGGATTTTTCGGATTTTTCGGATTTTTTAATATTTTTATCAATTTGTAATGATGAGAGAAATTCTAAAAATTTTGTTAATTAACAATAACCTACTTTGTTGGAAAATTAATTTTTATGAAAAATTCCAACGGAAATAAATTCTTCTAAGTATTTAAAATACACCGTAATTTATTTAAATTTTTGAATTTAATTTTATTAACTTAAAAAAATTATTTTATGTAACGTACTCGGTTTCGACGCCGTGCGCGCAACCTAAAAATGGCGCGCGGAAGGCTACTTTGAGCGTTAAATTAAAATTATAAATAAGGGAGGTACAGTTCCGGAAGTTAAAACTAATTTATAGCAAATTTCCTCCTCTTTAAGGATCTTATTTGAAAAATCCAAAAATATTTATAGTTTACAAACTATAGGCGAAAAACCAAACACCATGTTTTTGAGGTGTTTAATTGTTTAACTTTTCCAATTTCTTATGCACTGCAAAATTTTTCTTCACACATTGATCTAGACATTATTCCGAATCGAATGAGCTATTGAACATAATTTTCATAATAATGTGTCCCAAAAACACGCTTTTGAACTTGTTGATTAGTCTACTATGCAATAGCTTAAAAAATAACAAAAAGTAACAAAAAATAACTAAAAAATAACAAAAAACTAGCAAAACAATAACAAAAAATAACAAAAATAAATAAATAACAAAAATGTCTGGCGGTCGCTGGCTCTTAGTCTATAAATTGAAATTTGCGATAAAACAAAGTGTGTCAACCACTAATTA